CCTTCTCTTTGTGGTGGACCTTCTCTTTGTGGTGGACCTTCTCTTTGCAAACTTTGTGCTGATATTGTTCTTTGGGATATCCAACATATTAACCAGTGATAAAAGGGGAAATGGAAAGTTGGTTTTATCTTGTGACTTGTGATACTGCCATGATATTGCTTCTTCTCGTGGTGAACAGGAGTGAGCGAGTATTACAGCACACCTTTGTAAATGATGCAGCCACAACAGGTTGATAATGACCAGGGTTAGTATTGAGCCCAATGGCAGGGAATCAAATGAAGCAAACTGCCTTGTTCTGGTTAGTGTTGAATTTCATTGGTGTTTTTGCAGCCAGGACAGCGATCAGCATTTTGTAACTTGAGCCTTGCAGATGGGAAAAGGTTCTTGGGGGTTTTGAGGTGATCCACAAACATCAGAATATTCAGTCTCTTGTGCTTTGATATGAATGGACCAGTTAAACTTTAAATCAATGGGTGAATCTCAAGATGTTGATGTTAGGGCACTTAGTGATGGTGATGCCATTGAAAAGGCTAATTAAATGGCTGAGATTACTCTTATTTTAGATGGTTGTTACCTTGCATTTATGCAACTTGAATCCCACCTGCCATTTATCAGTCTCTGGGCTGTTGCAATTGAGATCCGACTGCAGATTATCAGAGGAGTTTAGCAGGAATCATCACCAGATCAATTGATTTTAAGATGGATGAATGGTTATTGCTGAAGCAAATTATTGCAAAGTTTGGTAGAGTACTTGGATTGGGAGGCAGGAAGTTTAGAATTTGGTGTTTGTAAAATGCTAGCGGGGAAACCATTGTGTGGTCCCTTGAAGAGATGATGTGCTTTTTCTGTGCTTAGAGATTTAAAATGAATGTCTGTCAGCAGCAGCTTGAAAGTTTGCAAGTACACAGAGAGCACCCGAATTGAAACATTTGTATCAAAAAAATATACAGTTAGCAGGCCAAGCAGCAACATTTTTGCTAAAATAACAGGCATTTGAATTTAGCCAATCAAATTGAACCAGGTACTTAGATACCAAAAACCTATTAAATTTTTTTCTGAAGAAGGGTCCAGACCCAAAACATCAGCCTTCCTGCTCCTCTGATGCTGCCTGGCCTGCTGTGTTCATCTAGCTCTACACCTTGTTATCTTAAATTTAAGCCTGATGGTTTTGACAACATAGGACCAATCCTATTGTAAGAAATATTGATATGTCCTCAAGGGTATAAAAAGAAGGGACCCCAGAGCTAGCTGCCATCCACCAGAGCTAACAGCCCTCGGCTCTCAAGAGATTCGCTTTCTGACTGTCTCCTGTATGCTTTAGAGTTTGCACTATCTAAGTAACAATGGTACCAATGGCAGAACTAGTTAATATTCTTGACAGAAGAATCAGCAGAGAAAGCACAGAACATTCCGGAAGGCACGTAACCTGGCTGTAATTATTAAACTTATTTTTGCCAGGACTGCTTGGTATCACTCAGGAAATGAAGGGCAGCTTCTGTTATGCTTACATCAGAGCTATGATGAGGCCTAGCACTAGTTGGCTCTGCTAGAAACCAGGCCAAGCATTGCTGAACAAGTTATTGGTGATGATTTTGTTGTCTCCTCCTTGCAGCGCTTTACTGATGGATTGGAGGCAGCTCCTCCGGCAGTAAATGCCCATCTTTTCGATTTATTCTGTTTACAATGATGCCAGTGTCAGAACTATATTAGATTTCTTTGACCTTTTGGTTGAGAGATATTTGTGAGCAGTAATAGCTTAATTGAAATATTAGAATTATATTCAAACACATTTGAATGAGTGTATATTTATGATGTGCATGCATATAAACTAGATATTCTCAACAAATTGTTAGATTTCCCATCAACAGGAACCCAACATGTGTGAATAGAGTTATCTTTCAGAAACTTGGACCTTTAAAACTTGCAGAAGAGCAACATCTTTGCACCAAAATTTTTGGTGTTGCCTTTTTTTAGCTTGAGATTTACCTTGGCATTATAAGCCAAGGATGAAAGACTTGTAGACTTTTGTTCTTGTTTTGAAGGTAGATGAAAAGCATTAAAGAGGTGTTGAAAGTCAGCTAGCACCAGAGGCAGACAATCTACTTCCATTACCCTCAACTTGGATCTATAAGCTTGCTAAAAACCATTCAGTTTGCTAGGAGATTTTTTTTGTGAGGAACGAACATTTTCATAGCAGAAAAGCAGAAAGAACATACCTACGCATGGTTTGTTTTAGTTGGGCAGAGAAACATGGAAATCTGACTGAAAGTTAGCTTTGGCTTTGAGGACTATTGCACTTGGCAGCCATAACAGTGGGAAAGGCTGCAGAAGGAGAACAGTATTTGCTGAATAAGCTCAAAACAAGAGGGACTGTTTCAACTGAACTCACTTGGCAATGGATAGTTAGTTTGAGTTGAAGGCCAGTATTACAACCCATGCAGCTCAATCTTTGTTCGTGCAACCTGAAAGGTTAGAAAGGAAAAAAAAACTACAGAGGTTTAAATGAGTAGCAACAATAGACTAGGGTATGCACTGTTCAGTATGTAGATAGTATGACTTTGAATTTTAAATCATCTGGATATGTCTATTTTCGTGACAGGTTTTAAAAATTAAGTTAGTCTTTCAGAACCATGACTTTTAAATCAATGTGTGTCAGTGAGGGCATGTGACTATAAGGACACTGGAGTATGAATGGATATTTGTTTGTTCATGTTGGGGTTTTTTTAAGGAACGAGAAAACATTAAGCCATTAGAATCTAGGCTAAGCAAGTTTTGTTTAATTTAGTGAAAAAGCTTTTGTATTCAGTTCGAAGGAGACCTGACTAGGGTCAGAAACCAGTATAGACTCTCCTAGAAAAGGTGATTGTTACCTCCATGAGAATTCAGTCAAACTTCCAGGCCACAAATCTTTGGTTAGAACTCTGCTGATCGTTAAAAGTCTAAGGATGATCTAACCATTCACAGATCATAGAATCCCTACAGTGTGGAAACAGGCCTTTTCGGCCCAACAAGTCCACACCAACCCTCAGAGCATCCTGCCCAGACCCATTCTGCATAACGCACCTAATCTGCACATACCTGAACACTACGGGCAATTTAGCATGGCCAATCCACCTAGACTGCACATCTTTGGACGGTGGGAGGAAACCGGAGCACCCAGAGGAGACCCACGCAGACCCGGGGAGAACGTGCAAACTCCACAGAGACGGTCGCCCGAGGGTGGAATCAAACCCGGGCCCCTGGCGCTGTGAGACAGCAGTGCTAACCACTGAGCCACCGTGCTGCCCTGTAACTCAGTTGTG